TAGGGACTGCACCGAAGGCCCCAGTGGCGGCGCTCACATGCGTCCCCGCCACACATCCCAGTACACCCCTCACGCGCTTCGTGGACCCATAGGTTAGGGAGCTCCACCGACGGCCCCAGCAGCGGCGCTTACATGCGTCTCCGCCACCCATCCCGGCCCCCCCCCCGCAGCAACATCATGTTTCGGGGACCCATAGGGAGATCCACTGGAGGCCCCAGCGGCGGCCCTCACATGCGCTTCCGCCACCCATGTCGGCACGCCCCGCGCGTGTTTCATGTCCCCACAGGGAACTTCACCGAATGCCCCAGTGGCACCCATTTCGGCACACCCCTCACACGTTCCGTGGTCCTATGGAGAGTTCCACTGAAGATGAAACCGCAGCTTCGGTACTGACACCTGCATATGGTTGGTTTCTTCGCCAGGCTAATTTTTGAATCGGAGTTCAATAGGGAATGGTCGAGTCCAAGCCTCCAGAGGAATTCCTTAATACTGTATTTGTTTTTGAATCGGATTTTAGGAAATGGTCGAGCCCCAGCTTCCAGAGGAATTCCTTGATAATCTATTTGTTTTTGAATAGGAATTCAATCGGAAATGGTCGAGTGCCAGCTTCCAGAGGATTTCCTTAATCGGAGGTGAGGGGGTGAGATCGAAGTGGAACGGAAAACCCCCCTACCGGGAAATCGATTTCGGTTTCGTGTTCGTGCGTGCCGTGCGGGCGAGGCGAAGCTGCGTGGGCGGGCGAGAGAAAGTCTCCTGTGGCTGAGGCGCGGCCGGACCAAATGATTCCCTTCCGGGCGGCCGGGGCCCCGCGGTGTCCCGCTGTCCCGCTGGTGTCCCGTGTGGCTGAGGCGCGGCCGGACCAAATGATTCCCTTCCGGGCGGCCAGGGCCCCGCGGTGTCCCGCCGGTGTCCCGCTGGTGTCCCGTGTGGCTGAGGCGCGGCCGGACCAAATGACTCCCTTCCGGGCGGCCGGGGCTCCGCGGTGTCCCGCCCGTGTCCCGTCGGTGCCCCGTCGGTGTCCCAATGATGATGATGATGATGTTGATGATGATGATGATGATGGTGTTGGTGATGATGATGATGATGATGATGATGGTGTTGGTGGTGTCACGATGATGCTGTTGATGGTGATGCGGATCGATTGTGAGATCGATAGTGAGGTCGAATACGAGATCGATAGTGAGATCGATTGTGAGATCGGTTGTGATATCGATAGTGATATCGATAGTGGTATCGGTGGTGAGATCGATTGTGAGACAGAATGGAAGATCGTTTGTGATATCGATGGTGATATCGATGGTGAGACAAATAGTGAAACCGAATGTGAGATCGATTGTGGGATCTATTGTGAGATCGATTGTGAGATCGATAGTCAGATCGATTGTGAGATCGATCGATTGAGATCGACAATGATATCGATAGTGAGTTCGATTGTGAGATCGATGATGAGACCGAATGTGAGATCGATTGTGAGATCGGTTGTGATATCGATAGTGATATCGATAGTGAGACCGAATGTGAGATCGATAATGATATCGAAAGTGCGCTCGATAGTGAGATCGATAGTGATACCGAATGCGAGATCGATTGTGAGATCTATCGTGATACATACCGATAGTGAGACCGAATGTGAGATCGATAATGAGATCGATAGTGAGTTTGATAGTGAGATCGATAGTCAGATCGAATGTGAGATCGATTGTGAGATCGATTGTGGTATCGATCGTGAGATCAATAGCGAGACCGAATGTGAGATCGATTGTGAGATCGATAGTGACATCGATCGTCCGACCGGTTGTGAGATCGATCGGTTGAGATCGATTGTGAGATCGGTAGTGAGTTCGATAGTGAGATCGATCGAGTGCGACGTTGGTCCCTCCCCCCCTCACCTCCTTATCACCCGAAGGGTGGTCGTATAGGTACTTTATTTAATCGCTTCGCTCATTCCGCCGGCCCATATCGCGCACCGCCGTTGACTGGCCGAGTGGCCGTCGGCAGTGCGGAGCTGCAGGGGGCGGGGGATTCAGGTTGTGCCTCTTTTGTCGTGTCGGACGGTGGCAGGCGTTGAATGGGAACGTTGATTCTCGTGTAGTGCTGATGTCCTCTGTCGTTGCGGACGCGGGCGGCAAGGAACAGTTTTTTTGTTTCTCCTCTTCGTCCTGTTTTCTTGCGTGCTGGGGGGGCATTTGGGTGGCCTGCAGGGGCCGCTTGGGGGCTTCTTGGGGGCCTCCTGAGGGCCTGTTGGGGGCTTCTTTGGGGTCTCTTAGGGGCCTCTTGGGGCCTCCTGGGGACTTCTGAGGGCCGAGGGCTCGAAATATTGTTATGGGCGCTCTGGGCAGCATTTGAGCGCGGGGAGAAGTCGCGCGAGCGTCGTGGCCCCTATTGGCTATCTTCTTGCTTGTCTCTAATGCTGCGGGACGGCTATTCACGGCTGAGGCGGATCCCCACCCTGCGCGCCCGCGAGCGCGTTCTCGTCGCAGGTGAATGGGATTTGTCTCAC